CGGATCTTGTGCGAGGGGAATGGAAGGTGAGAAAGCGAGAGAGAAAGAGATGTTGAGGGATGGGTTGAGCCCGATGGCAGATCAGGCAGCACGAGAAGTCGGAGGGAGACAGAGATGTAAGGCAACAAATGAGGCCAATAAAACACATGGGCAGGCTGCTTCGGGGAGTCACGTATCCTTGTTTTCCTGACAGACGAACACAGGTCTGTCCTCAGTGATTACTTACGCTCTGTGCCTTTTTTCTTTCCACAGCAATTTACCTCCATAACCTTTTCTCTCCCACGGTTCCTGAGCCAATAACATTTGCGCCCTACATAGTTATTCAGTGTTGTGTTTGTTCAGTATCTATATACAGACAGACAACAGCCCTCTCTGGGAGATAGAACAAGTCAATACCATATCTATAAATAATTTCACGGCTGCAAAATACAAATTGCATCATGTGTATGCTCGCGCAGCAGGTCGAGTATAGACCTTATAGACCCGCTTTGTTCAGCACCACGGACAGCTCTGACCCAACCAATGGTACAGGATAGAGAAGGATAATTGAATAAAGCACACAAAAGTGGTCCCTGACCCTGGGTACATGTCATTCATATCAAACGCAGCCTTTAGTGCTGCACTGATACAAAATGTTCTGCTAAAAGCTGCATCAGAGGTGACCATTACCAGCATAGCAGTTAGTTCCTCCAATGCCGTTTGTTTACACAAATGGAAGTAAAGATAGTATGAGCACAGTATGTGTTTTAGACACTCCATCTTTTTCTGATAGAACCCCTTCTGAAGTAGTGTGCCACAGTTTTTGTGATGGTCATTATTATGTGCAACAAGGCCTTTGGTTACAAACCAAAACACTAAGAAGTAATATTTCTGAATGTTTTTCGATTGATTTCTGAATGTTTTTTTAGTAGACTTCAGTTTAAACCAAGAAAACCAACCGTTTTGGATTTGAATTGATAAGTTTGACAGACAAACACAACCAAAACATAATCATGTCTTTTGTTTTAGAGATTTACTAAGCAAGAAGGTCAAATATTCGCCAGTTTCTGCTGCTAACCAATATTATATAGACTAGACTATAATTTATTGATCAAAAACAGATTTAGCAGTCAAAAATAATCTTTAGTTGCAGTCTGGATTGACGTCTAGACTAATTATAATTACTTTATGAGCAGCTGTTGTATAAATATGTAAAAGACGTATCTTTTTAGCTCTACATTGAACTTTTACCCTGCCGAAAAATGTGGTATTGATCGTTTGAGTGAACTGAACTCTTAAACCAGACACATCCTGACAGCCTCAGTCAAAGTGTGCAAAAGCTCTCCTCTGCTAGATGCACTAGCTGGACAGAATACCAATGATTTGGCTCAACAGAGAACCCATAAAGTAACACTGACTCTGGTCTGAAAACAGCATCTGGGGTCAGGGATTTTTAGAAATCGCTTGAGGTTTTGGATGCTAATTCTATTTTGCTCGATTGGTATGGGCTGATTAAAGGGTTGGTCTAAATTAGTTTTACCAGGCTGTAAACATGTTCTTTTCTGGTGTTAAGTTGGGTATTTTAGCATAGGGGTCTAGGGGGATTGACTTGCTTCAACGCCAGCTAGTGTCCATTTGGGAAACTTCTGGCACTTCCTTGTTTGCTTCACTTCTTCGTTAGCTGTTGCCACTTCCACTCGCCCATATACACACTTATGCACTCATTTGGTCATGCAACTTTGTGAAACAAGTCTGTGTTTTAGCATGTCTAAGTAAGTCGTATACGAACAGAGCAGGGTTTAATCCTATTTCTCGTGAGAGCAGCCACTGTGAGAGAGAGGCATGAGTTTGCCTGTGGCTTATTTTCAGCACAGTGCTATAGTTGCTCTCCGGGGGATCTGGGCGCCTCCACTTGTTTGGTATTTAGATGAGAAGGAGAGGGGCAGGGCAGGCGCATAAATTGTTCATGCAAATGTGTGCTGCTTGTAGGGACAACATGATAGTGAGAACATGGCCGAATGCGAAAAACAACTATTTGTGAGGAAGTGCTTTTTTAAGTAATCCATGTACCCTGGAGGCACTTGGGTTTGGGTGTCGTCGCTGAAGGGCACCTTGTAATTTTCATAGCTATGAAATGGCTCTTCAGATTACCTTGCTGCATGTAGATGCTTGCAAAAAAATTGTGATATCCAAGACAATCTAAAAAAGCACATGATTGAATTCTTCTGCCTTCTGACATAAAGTATTTAAGTTATTTATCATTTAGATTCTTAAGAATCCTCAGCGCATTTTTTTTTGACTGTATAGCTCATATCTAACCTCTGAATGCTACTTTTGCGACTTAAAGGTCACCTATTATACAAAATCCACTTTTTCATGTATTTTATACATAAACATCGGTCCCCTCTGTGTAAAGAGATTCTAAAAGTTTCAGGAAAAAATATTCGCTCACTTTTTGTCCTGATCCATTTATATAAAAACCTGTCTGAAAATTAGCTGATCAGACTTTGGCCACTTTGTGATGTCATACAATGTTTTGGCTTGAGTAACCATTAGCCAATAAGTAACCAAGGTAACCCCCGCACACCTCATTACCTGAATCTTCTCCTAGAGCACCATTGTGTTCTTTTTTAACCAAATATCTCTCTGAGGGGCGTGGGGAGGGGCTCCTTATTTTCATCTAAAGTAACAGACAGAGAATCAGCACTTTTGAAACAGGGCTGAAACAGAGGGGATTATTGGACGCTACAATGCACGATCTGTTTGGTATTTCGAACAAAACACTTCAGAGACATGTTTTGTATATATCTGAGACCTATAATATATTGATGAAAAACAGTATAATAGGGGACCTTTAAGTTGATTAAAAACTCCTGCATCATTCCCCATCATTGTGTTTATAGCCTCATAACTGCATCCATATGGTTTCTGGAATATTGTCCTCGCCTTTGAGTGTTTTTCTTTGGACCGACGGCTTGTTTTGACCCACTGGCTCCTCTCCCGGAAGCCACTCAAAACAAACCAAAAGGACCTTGCAACACCCTTGGCAAGGCACGTATAGCGATTTGAAAAATTCCGCATCACTGACTGGCTTTGTCACCAAACCTGATGGTATCTTTTTATACACAAAGAACAAACAGCCGGCTATAAATCAAAGCTCCCGGAACATCCAGCTCAGTGCAAGTTCTTCTTCATGTGCTTATTCTCTTTCATTGTTTTTATGCGTTTAAGGATTCTCTCCTGCCTCGCAACAAGAATTCCATTTTGTAATCTTTCCGGTGCACGGTAGCAAGGTCTCCAGTCTTGTCTCAGAAAATTGGCTCTCGCAGTGGTGCACCTTAGCACTATATGTCCTACAGTACTGCAGCTTTGTAATTTGCTTATTCAAATGTCTCCTGAAAAGTTCAGCTTTAAAGTGGAACGGCACAGAGGTTCCTGAGAGCTTGAGTTCATTGTACTCTCTTTTTATTATGAAGGGGAGACTTTTATTCTCCCTTGTGCTCAGCCAGGGCTTTGAGCTATAATGCAGAACCATTAATGTTATCATGAGCGAGCTCTGTTTGGAGAAAGAATGTTTTTTTTCACTCGCATTGACACAGTTCTCCTATTTTAAACTAGGTTACTCTGCGGCTAGAGACGTTATAGACATTCACCGATAAAACCCATCATACTGTCGAGCAGGGGTGTCAAACTCAAATACACAGTGGGCCAAAAAAAAAAAAATGGGTACTAGTCGAGGGCCGGACTGGTTCAATGTTTATTGCAAAACTTATTGAAATGAACTTATTGCACATATTAAACCTGGAACTAACAAAGCTTAAATTATTGCCTACAAAAACAACATTAAATAATCAGTTGAATTAATTTCTTATGGCTCGATCTGCGGCTTTTCCCGAGTCATTTCTTATGATTAAATTTTTCCAGCTTCAAAAAAACAATTCCCCTCAAAGAAAAAAACAAACATGCTCTCCTGTTGTCGCAAGAAACAAAGTGCAGAAGGAAACATCCATGTCAACTCAGGTTGCTGCTCTGTGATGCTAGTTCAAGCCAGATGCTTGGCATCTCATCTTGGGTGCAAGTTCATCAATGTTTGGGGTCAGGCTCTGAGCTGAGGAAATCCTCAGGATTGAGTGAAGGTGTGCGTGCAATATACCGACGGGCCAGATCTAATAGTAATTAGAAATTATCCTGTGGGCCGAAATTAAATCCACCAAGGGCCTGATTTGGCCCCCGGGCCTTGAGTTTGACACGTGTGCTGTAGAGCAAGGTTATATAAACTGAAACAATTGACTTCACCCCATTATTTTGCATCAATAAAGAGTATATAAAAATGTAATACAAATAAGTAACACAATATAATGCTGTGATAAGCAGATTTAAGGACATGTCTCCCTGTGAATAAAGTAAATGTCTACACTTTTAAGTACAAATAGTGTAATAGAAATAATATAATCTCTAAATGTAATTATGAAATAATTCACATTTCAGATATCTTTATATAATACATACAGTAAAGACTACTTGCAGTAGTATTTAAATACTTAAAGATACTCTTTTAATACTCTTTAAATTGCAGTAAATACTGACATTTTTTACTATATTTTTTACAATTTTTTTATGTTATTATAGTTTTCTTCAAATCGTTTTTTAATGTGTTTTTAATCCTTGTTTGATGTAAAATTCCTCGTATGTGTTAACCTACCTTTTAATAAACCTGTTTCTGATTCTTAATGTTATTAGCCACTCAATAGCTTTTCGAGGAAATGTGAGGTTTAGCACTATTCTTTTCCCCTTCTTTCGTTATTATTATTTCATTTGTTCACCCCTCAAATATTCATATTCACATAAAAAAAACAATGGCTATGTTCTTACAAAAATAATGTGTTTGAATACAAAATTAAATAATAAATTACATTACAATGTAATGCCTGTTTATGCTCAATGAAGTCTTACCAAAACCTATTATTATAAAGTTTTCAGTATGGCTGACCTGTTTTCTGTCTGTTTTTGTGTTCTTGCAGACATAAACATGGCGGGCGAGCCGAAGCCCTACAGGCCCAAAGCAGGCTCCAAGAGGCCGCTCTCAGCTGTTTACAGGTAAGATCTGACCATCCATACTCCTTCATCTGAGGAGCTGCAGCCATAAATATGAACTCTCCTCCACACCCTGCTCTTTCCCGCTGATGTAAATGTAGAGTAATATTTCAATATGAGAATTTCTATTATGTTTTAGCCTTGAATTTATAATTGAGTTTTTAATGCTCTCCATATTTTCAGCACTGACTGGCGTTTGTAAAGCTCAGAGGAGATGCTGTTGTGTAAGCTTTATTAAGCATGACCCTGATTTTCTGCCCCGTTCACATCTCCTGGTCACACGGATCAAAGCAGTGCTTGTTTACTGCAGGCTGATGTGGCGGAGGCTTTTTTTATTCACTGGGACACTGTATTGTGTATTCAGATGGTCTGTCCATTGGCAAAAAAGTGTTTAATCCCTCCAATTTACTCCTTTCTGAATTGTTGGTTACTTTCTTGTATTGCACATCTTTGTTTACAAATGCATTAGTTTATGCATTGTTTTACCATAAACCCTCCTTTGCATTTGATAGCTACAGCTGAAAACCACCAGGAAGTAATATAGCAATTACGGAACAGGAACAAGAGTGGCAAAAACAACAGTACACCACTTCAAGTTGAAATAGAAATACATTAATACTAATTACAATTCCTGTGAGAATTTGCTGCATTTCAAAACAGCATTTATTTTCCAACTATCAGCATTTCAAAACAGCTCCCCCTTTGCTCCTCTTCTCTGAATTTTAAATGAGTTGCCATCCTGAGTGTGTACTTAACATTGATTTTCCTCTCCAGGGTCTAAGAAAAAATAATTTTCCTTTCATCCCCCGACTGTATTTCCCCTCTGAAACTTTATTTAGATTCTTTGTTGATCTGTGGTCTTTGCATGCCAGTGTGTCTTAGGCCTGCTGCCTAACCTGCGGTTGGCTTTAGACATAGAGCATGTCAGTTTGAGTCAAAACAACTTGAGTTTCTTTTTGACAGATCTCATCTCTTCTTTATCTGTTCCCCCGTCTGTTTCCCCTGCTTGTCTCTCTTAGCGGTTATGAACTTGATTACGAGTACTACAGGGATGACTTCTACAGCAGGTATGTATCGTTCACATTATGTTATCACATTTGAGATTTAACAAGGAAACAGCTGATTGTTAACTTTGCCTTACCCCAATTAGTTGTAGTTGCTATCAAACTACACACATGCAGTTTACAATGCTAATTGTGGCACATTTACAATGTAAGATTCTTAGTTTAAGACAGAGGAAAACAAAGCTGATCATATAAACTAGAGGTAGCTAGCTAATTTACTGTCATTGTTGTGGAATTATCCACAACATAACCTACATTAACGCACTTACTACACGGCTTCTTAATTAATACAAGTTAATAATTTGACACAAAATATTGATTGAAAATGATTGTATTAATCAAAGAACATTTGTTTTTGCTTCTGTCTAAGAACTGGCTCCATAGAAAACAAAGAAATCCGTAATCTACCAAACACAAATTCTTGATAAATCGTAAATGTTTTGAAATTACACTCTTAAAATATGTCTTTCTACAGACTAATGTTGTTAGTAACAGATATGTTCCATGCTAATATTGTTAGCCGTGTATGCTAACGATTGCTACCGCTGCTAACTTTTTGTTAACTGTTTTTCACCACGCTCTAAGATTTTTTAAATACCCTCTTTCTACATAACATAAAGAAATACAAAGCAAGACCAACCATTGGACAATCATTTTCAGGGGCGTGGTTTAGCTAAAGATCAATAGGTCTCTTTATTTATGACTCCCTCATTAAACATCTCTAATGACAGATGTAGTTCAGTATCCTCACAGAGGCACCTGGAAATAGCCAACATGTCAAAATGTCCGATCAGATCAAGCATGCGACTCGAGGACGATGAAGGACACTTGTTTCCTCGGTCTCATTTAACTGCTGGTGATCTGACTGCTTATCTGTTGAGACACTTTCTAAATGTCAAGCTTGTTCATAGCTGTGACAGACTCCTACTGTCACTGAGAACAGTCAACGCTGACGCCTTCATTTGACATTAAGCACCCTCTTCTTTTCAGCCTCTGCATTTGCATGCATGTATCGGCCTTGGAAAGAGGGCTGGAGGTAGATTTCAGCTGCAAAGTCTGCCTTTTGTTTTACGGGTGCCGTTTCGGAGAATGAACCCAAGAGAAATCCATACAAAATGTCTCTTGAAAAACAACACTGGGAACAGATAATAGGCTTGAGAAAGAGGTGATGGTGAAATAAATGGAAAAGCTTTTAGATGTTTTAGCACATCTTTTAGAAGAAAGTGACTTATAGGAAAAGTGTGGGAAGTGAAGTGTAATATTTTAGATATTTTTTTTCTTTCCTTGAGGCTTTTTGACTACCATGGCAGAGTGGCCCCCCCACCGAGGGCCGTGATCCCTGTCAAGCGCTCCAGGGTGCTCGCTCCTTCCTCCCGCCGCGGGAAGACCTCCTTCCCCATCAAAACATCCTCCTCTTCTTCCTCCTCATCCTCCAGACCTCCCACGTCCTCCTCCGGGCTCAAACGTACGTACAATAAGGTGCTTTCTACTTATCTTGTGTTTACACTCAGATGTGACTTTATTTAATATGGATTTTTTCAAAAGAACGAAACCTAATTACTCTAATGGCATTCTGTCCTTTTGAAAAAAAGAAGCCTTCAAATGCAAAAAAAGAAACACGGCTCGGAGAGAAAAGGGTTGGCATTATTCCGCTGTGCTACTTACGCCACTATAAAAAGCTATTTAATTCACTCCAGCAGCTCACAACAAGCCACACTGCAATGTAGAGCAAAACACTAAGTCGCAAACACAAAATATAATCCGAGCTTTGCGAGGAGCACTATTCATTCGGCGAGCTATTGCTGTCACCCAGGATCCATCTGGATCTCATTCGCTCCTCTGATTAACTGGCGATGCATTATAACGTGCTAAATGTAATTAATGTGAGATTGGGGCCATCTCTTTGGATCTGTGGTCAGCTGTGTTTCCCTAAACGTTAGTCCATCTGTAGCCTGTGTAATTGGCTACAGTGTTTATTCCATTGTTGCCTGTCTAGCCAGTGTTATCAGCGCGAGCAGCTTGGGAGCGAAGGTCTGTGAGGAAGACCTAGTTGCAGTTGGTTTTATAGAGAAGAAGAGGGGGGGGGAGCCCATTTCCCGGCCTTCTTTTGGACAGAGTCGATGAATTCTCCTCTCTTTCTAAACTGCAGTGTGTTAGTAATTTGCCCCTGTGAAAAAAAATCCCTGTTTGTATTGACTTTGGCCTAGATAGATTGGACAGTGCAATAAGGCTAGCATGTCCAAACAGGGGGGAAGGGCTAGTGGGGGGAGTTTTAAAACGATATAGTCTGTTCAAGTCGTTTTTCACTTTAGGGGAGACATGGAAACAGCTGTCAGAGGCAGGGATCATGAAGATGGATAGATTTGTGTTTTCCACATTAAACCCTCTTTGACGCACAGTGTTGAGTGTCAGTGTATGAAGAGAGATTTGGCTGTTGGCTCATTCTGTCAGTCTATTAAGGAAAGACTGAATGAATCTTTAAGTTTGGTTGTGTTGAGAAAGTTACACAATCATATGATTTACTCACTATTCATTGACACCTTTATGTGTCTATAATACCCTGTGTTTAATCTGAATAGTACTAATTTCACTTTTGCACTGCTCTCCTAATGTTTCCTTTTTTTATTTTCCTCAACTGTCACAATTACTATTTTGATCAAGCCGCTAAATTATACCTACATTTTTTTTACATCATATTCCTCTCTGATAAGCACATTTGTTTCAATATAATTCAAAATAAGTCTTACATGATACTGAACTAGAGCTGCAAGTCAAATATTTAGACGGATTTGACAGACACTTGGTTGAATTTTTATAGATGAAATTGAACATTTACAGCGGCGAAATGTAAGACGTTCAGGGGCACAACAATTGTAAACTTATTTTTGTTTCTGTGCGCTCCTGTTACAAAATGTTCTGCAGGGGAATTAGGATCTCAAAATGGTTTGCACTGATGGATGAAGAATAGTGCAAACATTTTACCAAGATGTTATCCTCATTTAGTTAAAAACTAAAAACTCAGGATACTGCTCGTTCAGTTTATTTAGATATTCAAATTAGACATTAAACACATAATGTATGGGTTTGATTATGTTTAGAAATGTTACATCAGTAAAGATATCTTAAACATATTTCTCAAAGAATCTTCCTGATGTCCATCCTCTGAACTTGTAACCTTTTATACTACCATTAAGAGTCACACATCAGCATCAGCAGCCCCATGGTCTTTTTCCAGTCTTAATATCATAAACAAGTGATTTGAGAGAGACATCCTCGCCATCCCCAAAATAAATAAATGTGCTCGATCATGAGTTTCTAAAATCAGATCTAATACTCATTCCATAAATCTCATTTATAATGCTTATTGAATAACAATGGCAATATTTTCGCCTGTTCCTTCAAAACGGGCTATTTAAAGATGCTGTGTCGATAAGGATGTGTGTGTTGTCTCTGCAGCTTATGTAACTGATAGCACAAAAGGGAAAAAGACCTGGAGGCGGAGATAAATTAAAAGCTGTCCCACACATTCTTATCATCAAAGTAAGCCGCCCAGAGCGAGCAGGGATAATGTTGGAATAAGGAAGCGAGTGTGCATGTGTGTGCATTTATGGATGTTGCTTTGTACACCGAGATAGAGACACTTCAGTGTTTCCCACCATTGTAATGTCAGAGTATATCTATCTGCTTTTTTCTCCTTTTTCCCCTCAAGAAAAAGTAAATTTTCCGCATCCCTGTAGCTTTAGAGTTGACTGCAGCTTTAGGAAACAACATGAGACACATCCTTGTGATTTACATTTACCTAAATATAGCTTTCAATGGGGCATTATATACCCCTTCTTTCCTATTTCACTTTCCCACATTAATCATCCCGTTTTTGAATATGTTTTGGTAGATAGCCTAAAGTATGTATTGGATCTTACCTGGGCAGTGTTGTTTTTCACTCTGAATTAGTGTGAAGGATTATTTTTTGGAATGCTAGTTTACAGTCAGCTTATCTTTTCGAAATGTGTATCATGCACTGACATCTCCAACCGTAGATGTTTTATGCAACAAAAAGAGGAGTGGATCTGCATTGTGATGTGGTCTGGGTGTAAATATACATCAAAGAAACGCACTTAAAGAGCCGCGTGCCGACATGATACCTGACTAGATTCTATGCATGTCTCCTCCTCATTTTCCATCCGCAGCTCCACAGGAAACTCGTAGGTTTGTTTACCGAACACTCATCCATCCTCTCTCCAGCCCCGAGAGAATCTGATAGGTGTCAGATTTTCTTCTCAACTTCTGCTTTTCTGTTTTTCCCTTCCTCTCTGAAGATGACACATTTCAGCTGCCGTGGGTTAAGGCATAAGATTATTTTATTGCTTTTTATGGTTAAATTAGTTAATCTTCTCAGAGCTGTTCACGAGTACACCCGCAACAGTGATGCAGTCCACATTGAATGAATTGTTACGCCCTTCAGATGTATTTGTTTGTTTTGTTTTTAAGCAGATGTTTTTCACGTATGACACACTGATGTTGAGACTCAAACTTTGGCAAAGCAGAAGGGAAGAGAAATTATTCAAAAAGCAGTAAACAGAAACTGTGGGGGGTCATATTGTGCCCCCTGTTTCTAAAGCAGTATTTTAAGTGAGGCAATAGTCTGCTAAAGCGGCAGAAAGTGAGTGTAAGCAACTAAAGCAAACTGGTTTAGGTTTATGTGTCAATGTAATTTAATACAAGTGAACATTTTCAAGTTTGGATGAAAACACAAAACTACTTTTTATCTATATGTTATATTAGATGCGCGTCATTCATAATTTACTGCAAAATACTTGTATGTGGATATTTCATACAGTGAACGAGCAGCTTTCCCTCTTCACATACGAATCCTAGATTTATTTTACTGAACTCCATGTGGCACATTTATAATTTGCTATGGATTTTAGTCTGGTATTTTACGGGTCCCATACCTGTTTAATAATTTGTTAAGAAGACTTAATTTGGTGCCACAGAGACCCTTATCTGGGACAGTTGCTTGAGCTGGCTGTGTTTTTCACTCAGGTCAACATTCATGCATATTTAGAAACCATATTTCATTTTGATTGCTTGCCTGTAAAATAATTTGATCTTCTTTATGTCAAGCTGTGCTGTTTTGCCCTAAATGCAAGACTCTACATTATGTTACCAATTATTTCATTTGCTATAGAAATTGTTGAAATAGTTTTGTGTAGTGTGCACTATTAGTTAGGAACGACACACTTCCAGATAGCAGTTCAATAGCATTTTCTTTTTATAATTCTTCAAACTCAAGAAGCATTGACAGCCATGTTAAATAATAGCAGTTTAAATTTTTAGAAGTTACAAAATCATAAAATTATTGAGTTCTTCTTCATTCTTGATAACTGTTTAGTTCTTAAGAAGCTACTCTGTTGAACATTTTAAAAAAGAAACTGCAGCATATGCTTCAAAACAAGAGCCGTCCAATGTCTAATGCCAATGCCAATGTAAACCCAGACAGATGCTTTGGGTTTATTCCCTTTCCTGTAGTTTTTTTTTTAGGTTTCTGTGCATGTAAATAGTCTTCAAAGGCTAAATCCCAAAGTTCACGGCAGAATAATTTTTCTCCCACACACTGGCTGAAACGCCTCGTTTGGACTATTTAGTTCATTTTCGTAAAAAAGTGACATCGCCATGACACTTGCACTTGTATTGGGTAGCACTCCAGCATATTGTACGTGATAGGCTAAGGGGCAGGACAACTCTAAGCGGTTTACCAATCACAACAGACCCAGTATTAACAGAGTATGAATACATTAAATGTCTTCTGCTGAAAGGTAGATCATAACTACTTTCTAAAGTATATAAAATGAACATCTGAAGGATTACAAATGTAAGATACACGTCTTTGACCTGACCTTCACAATATGCAAATCCAAGCAGATGCTTTGTATAGTGTATGACATTCCCTTGCTTTATATAATCACCGAAGCCAGCTGAACGACAGCATAGAGTGTGTTCAGATATTGACGTTTTTGAGCAAAACTTGAGCAGAACTGCACAGCATGGTGGGCGTAAGCTGTGCACTAATCTTCAAATGGAAAGCAACAGGTCCATATTTTCAGCAGGGTGACTTTACAGATGGCCAGATGAGATGTTCCTCCCTGAGGATAGAGTGACTCAGAGTGAAGACATGATATCCAAAACTAAGAGCATTAACACATGACAGCATGCGGTCTGTGATAAAGCGGTGTGAAGCACGGTCATTAAAATGGCTGCACGAATGAAACGAGAACAACTTCAAAGTAGCTATAAATCTGTATTTTTTTTGTTTCCGTCCCTCAGCAGTGAAGACGGACCAGCTTCAGACTATAAAGCGGGAGCTCACTCAGATCAAGTTGAAGATCGACTCTTTGCTGGGACGCCTGGAGAAGATCGAAAAGCAGCAGAGAGCCGAGGCTGGTGAGAAGCAACACGAATCAGAGCGGGAGGGAGGGAGGGAGGGAGGGGAATTAAGAGCAAACGCTGGCCATAAGTCTTCATGACATTTTGGGAGATAAGAGCCGTAGAGCTCTCTGTCATAACTGCAGACAGGTGTCAACGCCATGCTGACGCCACGTTTATTTGAGAGGTCTTAATATATATTTGACAATAGAGGACAGTCTCCTATTGAAGGTCACTTAGACAGCATTCATGTTACCATTTTTCTCCCAGGCTTGCTTGCTTAGTTTTATTTGAGCTATCAATCTTTGTATATTTGAATTCCATCACCAAATAAATCACACAAATCCTTGTTCATCCTTCAAGCAAACTGTGTTTTTTTTCAAAGGGAAAACTTCACTAGATACGAAAATAAACAGACAAAATCAAGGTTTTTCTTTTGGATGGAGATGGATGTTTGTTTTTAAAAGCTATCGGCTTGAAGCATGAAGAAATATTTCATTAACTATGGTTAGGTGGCACGATGATTCATCATTTATTTTATTTCTACGGAAAATTCAGCATGTATTCAACAACATAATGTGGTAGGCCTATATATAGCCCACATGACTTTATGTCATGAGCTGCTCTAATGATGCAATTTATCATGGCTATTAACTTGAGCAGAATTCACCGTCATCCTGGTGCTTTATCATTCAGGGTCAAAGATAAATAAAAGAAAGGACGAGAGATCCTGCAGTGTTTTGAACACAAACACACTCATTTACTATTTATGTAAATAAATGCAAACTGTCAAATTCATGCCAATGACACAGAATTAGCTTTTGATGGTTTACATAGAACACTTTAATTCCCCAATGTATTGTAGCGTTGAGTTAAATACCAGAAATATTTCCCCGCTTATCATAGAGTGCTAACTTCTTGCCTACATATCGAAAGAGGCACATCAACAGCAGCAACTGCGGTCCTTTGTCAGTGTCTAAACTTTATTCAATCATGTTTTGTCGGTGTTAGCTGGAAAGCTAAAAATAGAGGCTTCGGTTGCGTTACGGTTGCTCAGGTTGTCTGAATTTAGCAGCTGTTATTCACAGCTGAATTGGCAACAGTGTCTTTAATTTTAGATGATAAATGACAGTGTTGACAATGGACATATATCAATTTGTCACTCGTCGAGGCTCTTCTGTCCAGCTGATCGTATCTAGCAACACGTCCTCTTGGGAACGATAGTGAGGTCATCACATTTCTGCACAGGTTTTAAAACCAGAAAAAGGCAACCATGTCAACTTTTTTTTTACTGCTGTGTGACCCAAAAACGATTGTCTTTGCCCTTCTTTCTCACTCAGAAGCTCAGAGAAAGTACGAGGACAACTGCGACTCCCTGCATGAGGAGTCTGTGTCGGAGACGGCAGAGAACTCTGGGGAGGAGGCGGGCGACGGGGCTCTGGAGATGGAGGCGGGAGAGATGACCGATGGAGGCGAGGACGAGTACGACGAGGAGGGCAACCACCATCTGGTAAGAGAAACGGCTGACAGGCGTGACAGCGAGGCAGAGAGCAAGACACTTTGGGAGATCTCAAGTGGGCAGACAGTATTTACATTCTTAAAGTTAATTTTACAGAATTATTCATGGCCGCAGATCTGAGAGAGCCGAGCTTCACATGAGTGAACGGTGAGAGCTTTTGGACTGACAGTTTCTCCCTGTTGACCCCCTATCACTCTGGAAGACTCTTCACAGGCCCACACACAGGCACACACAAACTTATAATTGAAGCAGAGGGCTCAAGAGACACAGAGGAGAGCTTAAGACCACCGGTGTGAATCTGGATGTAAAATAGTGTAAATAGGTTTCTGTTCACAAGGCTGCTGAGGAAGTAGCACCTGTATGGAGAAGCCAACTGGAGCTGTTGGGAAGGTTTAAGTTTTATATATTATAAAAAAAATAGTTGATAGTGTTCAGGAATGCTGATTATAATTGTTTCTAATTAACACCAGTTTTACTACCAGTTTACAAGTTTCCTTTTTTTTGTTCTTTGTTTTTACAAAACTAGGTTGAAATGTATTTCTCAGTGATGATCACCAGAAACCATATTATTCTGCAACATTTAGCTTCAAAGAGACGGAGCCACTCACAGATTTCACATGTTTTTCCAATATCTCAACCAAATCAATTCATTTTGACTGGCCTCAAAATGTTTATGTTCTTCAGAAAAATGTACTCAAACTTTAAAAACATGGCCATCAACAATTATATTTCAATAAACTCGTATAAGTAGAACTTTTCCAGAATCAATGGAATCCTATGAGAGAATATTTTCATCAGTTTTAGTCACACGCTGTACAATTGCTTGTGCAAAATGTTTCGATTACAAGAAAAGTAACAAATTCAGCTGGTATAAAGACAGAGACTGTGTAAAAAGTATTTTTCAGCATTTCATTTCATACCACACTGCATTCAAATCTGAATAATTATCCTCGGTTCCATCCTCTGTTCTGTTGCATTGGCCATGGGTTTGACCATGCTTTCTCTATAATGATATATTTATTAGCCATTAAGCAGGTGAGTAGGGGCATGCTCTCCTTGATGAAAGCTTGCTGCCCCTGCTAATGGAAGACATTATTTTTCAGCGACAGGGAGGTAAAGATTTATTTGTTTTCTGAAGGTCACACCGATCACACATCGTGATAATGTACACCACAAAGAATGTTCTCGGGCTGCGCTTGTTCACCGTACAGCGGCGATGACCTTTTAGGAAGAATGAAATACAACCTGCTCGCTTCTGAACGCTAAATCATATCCATATCTTTTATTTCCCTCTCCCCTTCTTTTCAGATAGAGAACCATGTATCGGATATTGACAACTGAGATCAGGTAAGGTTTATTAATCCATTACAGGATCTGTGAGTTTGTTTTACTAGACTGCAGCCAGTCTTCAAAGCCCTCATTAAAAGCCTTAACGGCTGAGCTGTGTCTTGAGCATCTCTAAACATTCGTTAATCATCTTCTAAGTCATAAACTCTATGACATTTAGAAGACCAGCTCCACTGAAGGCTAGCTAATGCAGAATTCAACAGAGGGATCAATAATGGCATTCCAATGGGCCAGAACTGCCCATAAACAACATTCATCTAATTGAATTGTGAGCAAGGGGGTATGAATGGTGAGGCCTTAGGTATAGAGTTTCCTGCTCTCTTCTCTCAGGGTGAGGGTAATGATGCAGCCACATCATCAGTTGGCTCGCTGCTGGCCGGCTCCACGTAGCGGGGGTGCTCAGCTGTATGTATGAGTTTATGTAAGCTCTGTTTAACTCTTCCATAGCTTTATGTGTGAGCAAAGAAAAATCAATAGTTCATAATGGCCCCGGATTTTGATTTATTTGAAGTTGTTTTATTTTCCAATTGTGGTCACATTTGTAATTTTCTGCAATATTTTGTATAATTCTCAGGGTGTGTCGACTATAACCTCCAAGGTGTGCAAGATATAGGCTAAATAAACAGTGCTTTATTGTTGAATACCATCAAAGCAATACATTCTTGATTAATGACATTAACTTGTATCTCTCATTGTCACTCACTGTTCAAGTTAAGTTTGAAAGAATACTTAAACATTTCAGGAAATTCGCTTTTTTCACTTTCCTATTAACGATTCGTAAAGATCAATGACACTGTCAAGTCTGTTGAAAACATGACGCTAGATTCAGCAAGCTAGCTTAGCTTAGCATACGTATTAAACCGAGGGAAATGGCTACTCTTAATCTTTCCGAATGTAAGAAAGTCAGGTCACCAGTAGCCCTAAAGCTCACTATTCAACTTTTTTGATGGTTTTATCAGAATGTAAACCAAACTGTAAGGAAGACAATTAGCAGTAATATTAGCATTAGCGTATCTCTTTCTCAACGTTAGCATGGCTAGCCTACATTTATTAGTGTGAGCCGTTTTGTTGGCTTGATTTATGATGGGATTGCGGATGAATTCATTTCATGAATCTGTTCCCTTTACCTTAAAAGAACAGTCAGTTGCTCTCAATGTTATGTTTATTTTGTCATTTATGTGTGCACCAGCTAAAGTTTTCATAGCTAACCCCCTACGGCTTTTCCCATATGCCTTTCTAGGCGTCTAGTGTCCCAGTTCTTGCCACTTTAAAAAAAATAAAAAACACGTTACACTTCAGTTTTCCATTTCCTTTCCTCATGTCTGCCTTTTCAAAATCCTATCAGTAGCCAATTCACCAGAACCTCCTCACAGCACATGCATTTAAAAACCTGAAAATCCCAGTCAAGGTCGCAGAGAGTCTATGAATGTGGTTATATGAAATCACAGTGAGAAGAACCCTAATAAGTCATGTCCAGTAGAATTAGGAAGGCAGCTTTATACCAGCAAGTATTTCTGCACTTTCCAAGATATTTCGGAGGCAATTCAAAACGGACAAGCTTTAAAACTCAGCCTAATCCTCATCAGATTAACTGCATTATAAATAGCCACCATGTTTTAGAAGGAGATGCGGTTTTCTAATGTGTGTTTTCATCTTCTTTATCACATCAGGATGAGGCAGCAGACGTTCCCGGTTGGTGGTATTAGAATTCATCATCGCCTTCAAGAGACAGAAAAAAGATTCCTGAGGGATCAAGACTCTCACACTGGACTGTAAATGGTATTCAAGAGATGCTGAATCACATTTAGATTCCCAACTCTGCGGCACATAGCGAACGTGATGTGCTCTCTGAAGAAAATCTATTCAAGACTCATTTTCATGCAGTGGCCACCTTCATGGATATCCTGTGCGACTTATATTTCATTGCAGGAGGCTGAGAGTATTATGCGCTAATCCTGCTCCTGAAAAAATAAATACTATGGGAATGTATAATAAAAAAAAGGCTTTTTATTCAGATTTGCAAATTGAATTACGTGGAGCGGAAGGGAATTGTTGATTTACCATATGAAATGTGTTTGCAATGTCATTTCACAAACTGTATTTCAAAGGATATTTGCTCGAAGATCAAATTAATAGAACAATCGGCGACCGCAGTATGATATCCACAAAACTAATGAAACATCGGTGCCGTCTGGGTCTGCTTTTTCCTCGTGTATAAGCCATGAGCTACGAGCATAACTTTATCCAGCTTATCCATTTATCACACAAATACCCTGTGGGGCTGTTCCATCATATATTCCAACTCCTGCCAACTTTCAAAGCAGACATTTCCTAGAATGGTAGAGAGCCAACACTGGCACAGGCGTCCTGCCAACACTGGCACAGGCGTCCTGCCAGGGAGCAATGCCCCAACGTCTCAAAGCGCTCCTCCCTGTTCAGCCTATGCATCCCAACATGCACTGCTGCTGTTCAGGAGCCAAGGCCCTTTCTCATTCTCCTCTACTACCCCCCTGCATTTTGATTTGATTCTGCTCAGGCGAAAGTGCAAGCTGAGGTTTTTTTTAATGATATATCAAGACTCCTTTTAGAAGTATGTGATCTGTCTTTTGGATCGGTTAGATTTGGAATACATCTGTTATGATACACTGGCCTTAAAAACCTAAACAAGTAGTGAGACAATACAATCCATTAATCTATTAATAAAATACCTAAAATGGAAGATAATCTGGCCAGCATTGGGTGATTTGTCCACTCACTTTGTGCAGTTTACTTCATTATATCTGCCAATTTATTCAGAATCCGAATCAGAAATTCATTATTAGTCCCACGGTGGGGAAATGTACATTGTTATTGCAAAAGTAGGATTAGTTGTTGTGTTGTTGCCATGCGGAGCAGCTTCAGTTAAGTGATTTTAATCAACCTGATTATCAACAAACTGCTGCAAATTGAAATCTGTCACCAGTGAGTGGATATCTTCATGTTCTACTGTTAATCATTTGCAGCAGGTTTGCCCAATTTATTTCCAGTTTGCAAAAAAGTAAATTGACAAACAACACTGACAAAGGCATGTGTCTCGTCTTAAGCCTTCAGTTAAAGGTATTTGCAGAAGGAGGTAGATGCACCAGGTGTGCTAGCTGATCGCACAATGGCATCAATAAGTGTGATGATGTGTATCAGCCAATCAGCTGGCACACCTGGTATACTGTCAGTTAGCTATGGGTTGTAAGAAAAGGCTAGTGGGCTGAAACATTAATCACAGCTGTTAATTATACAGCGTCTTATTAAACGCTCATTAACCTCCATCATTGTCCTTAAACTCACTGCAGCTGAGTAACAGCTCTACTTCTCTCTGCTCCTATAACTTCACGGTTAAAATCTTCCTCCTTAAGGTTTTTTTTCAAGACCAACATGGCTATTGTCTATTAGAGGAGATAACTGTGGTTCTTTTTGCGCTTTAAACACTTGCACTTGATGCATAAAAACACATTTTGAGAAATTCAACAGCAATGTTACTTTTTGATTCAATGTCCTATTTATCCTTATGAAAACATGAGAATACTAACCTTGTTAAGGGGGGTTTAAATGTAATTGCTCAATGTTTTGAACCACAAAACACCTTTGAACTATGGCCGCACAACCTGAGAAAAGAAAATCAAAATACCGGGGGGTTTTGGTATTACTGACCCTTCTTAACAGAGAATGAATTAAATGTGAAGGAACGGTCGTCGCCTTGCACAACTTCATAAACAGTCAAACCTGGCAGTGCTGCCTGAAAAAAAAAACATAAAATAAAATGTCTGTCCTGCAGCTCATTCAAAATAAATGTCTGGTGAATGATGATAATGTGTAATATTTAGCACTATTTTTGTATCCAAAGACATGTCTAAGGGAAATGGCTCTGCTACATGTTTATCTTTTTTGCTGGTAGCCTGTTATTTACTGAGCAGTATGGTGATGTGTCAAATATTTTGCAAAAATGCTTCAAAAAATAAATAAAAACCTCATTGCTTTTAACTGTTGGAAATTATCTGGGTCACTTTAAAACATTTCTGGCTCAACCATCTTTAAGTTTACCCTGTATATAGTCCTTCTTGTTATTATTTCAAATAAATGAAAAAAAAAACTTTTATTGAGTTTAAAATAATACTGAAATGATATACTGACAGTTTGTTGGAGTGGTTGCAGGTTTTACCCAGAATCATGGGGCTTGTAGAGATAGTGTAACTGACAACTGTTGTATAGAAATGTACATTTTTTGTAAAGATATTTTTATCAAAAGGCATGTTTACTGTAACTTTGTATGTTCAGTTCATGTATTTAAAAAAAAAACAGCATAATTAAACTGTTGTACGGCTATAAAAGTCCCTGTCATTGTAGATAACTATTTGTGTTCTTTCAGTCAATAAAATGTTTGTGTCATATAATTATGTAGTCAAATTATTGAATGATCAACACTTTATTTTACAAATAAATATGAACTAAGGGAAGCTTTTGGCTTCATTGTTAGGGCTTTACATAAAAGCAGACATGATAATTACAGGTTGTGAAAAAATATATGTTAATATTTGGTGCATCACTATTGGGTGCCACTTAAAAATCCATTCTCTCCTCCATTTTCCTTCAATGCAGACTAACTATTTAATCATGATATATAAGATTATGCAGCATGTGCCTCTGCTGCCATCGAAATGACACTTTAACAAGTTTACAGCACCATGTGTGAAAAGATGTCAAATTAGCGTCAGTCAGCAGAAAAGTGGACACCATGAAGGCAGCTTGTCATCTTGTATTTCACTAAGAGCACCGGTCTCAATGGCTGCCGTTTAATATCACTGTTCCGTGAGAAGCATACTGATTCCATCTGGCCACAGCTGCATATATCCACCTCTGGCAAGTCATTCTACACCCCACTAATTGCAGTAAATCATTATAATAATGCACCAATCAACGTCACAAATACTCAAACTAAATGGTATAAGTTCTGCCTTAGATGAAAAGAAACCCTGATTTTGAATGTTGCCCCTGTTATTTGAGTAAAGGAATGTTGAAGTCTTTATTTTGCGTTCTGCTCATGAAATACAGGATATATGAAATGAAAGCAATTAAATTATTTCACTTTTCTCATGTATACCGTACTCTTAAATTCAGCTATTTTTTTACTGAATTCTTCAGAGAAACTGATTGACAAATTGTTTCTCCTCTCATTGATTTGAAGCGTGTCAAACTAAAGTAGAAACAATTGAGTTCAATCAGGATTTAGTTACATTCAAACAGGTTGAAGTTTTGATAGATTGTTTAGTTGCTATCAATCAAATTTGATCAAAACAAGTATAGTAAAGTGTTTGAGATTAAATAAATAATATTCTTTACGTTTAGAGTAGATTTTTTCTCACGAACATTTATTATAATACTTGTGTGTGTGTCTAGGTTAATTTACGACAGGAAAATGGGCAAAGTAAAAGTCCCTTCTCACGTGCTAGAAAACTAAAAAGGTCATGTGTTGGTCAATGTAGTGCATGGAATGAAGCCAGGACGCCCATGCGGAAATATCTAAAACACAAAAGTCAGCAAAAACAAATTCCAACAAAGAATCGTGGAGGCTGATTACTTTGCTTCACCAAGGTCAACCAAAAAAGAACAAGAAGGCTTTAGCTATAAAATTGCTGTCTATGATAAAAGAAAGCTATTTTGCATCGTACTCTGTTTGCCTCCAGTAACTTCTTCTGACCCTCTTCTGAAAGAGTAAGTTGTTAGAAAAGTGTTGAGGAGGTCCGGAACTGGCACAGACTGAGACTTCCTCCAAAAGTTCACACAGTATGTTTATGTCAAAGATTGATGAAAACACAAGTTGATCGATTTCCTTGCTTTGATGAAAATCCATCCACATGTTTTTACTAACAGTTAAACCGACAAGTTGAGTTTAGTTGATCTGTTTGGTTGAATATTATTTCAGTTTGACGTCTTTGCAAGAAGTTCAAAGTTCATTGTCACCTCCATCAGGTGCTGTAGTGTCACTGTCATGCTTATGGGCACTTGTGCAGCAGATATGGGACTTGTACTTCAGGTCGATTAACTGTCTCCAAATTCGTTAAACCTGTCCTCAGTCGGATTAACAAGCAGTCCAGTTATTGTGCTTCACTTTGGAACACACAACGTGACCTAAAGGCTGATTCTGACCCTGAGTCAGCAGAGCAGCATTTACAATCTGCCCACATTGTCCTGAATGGCACAGCTGGGAATAAAAGTTGTTCTGGTAAACAGCAACAGTCTCCTGGAAGCTCTCGTGTGTGCAAGTCGGTTCCATGTGTGACGCAGAGCATTTTCACAGTTGGATGGTTTTTAAGTCCACATGGAATATTTAGTTTTGATTGTGTCCGCTGCTGAAAATAATTTCCTCAGCACTTCCTGAGCTGCCAGTCCTCTGATGTCAAGGGCTTCATAATAAAAAAAACACATGCAATAAAAAAAGAGCTGGATTCATCAAAACATAAGGAGTTTTTGCGACATTAAATCGTAAAATCAACAACTGCCTCAATAAAATAACTATTAAAAACACATGGAACAAATAAAAAAGCTCCCCATATTGAAATCCTGTCATTTATGAGTGTATACAGTGGCTTCAAAGACGGTCTGCATGGTGTGAGAGTAAAACATAAATGTCCTTGAAAGGTTTCAGTATGTCACTCCCACTCTGATAGCCACTCTGTAAAGGAAGCTAGGCGGCTACAGATGGCTGACTTAAAGCCCCCCCCCCCACATTTATCCCCAGTAAAAGGTAACACAGTAAGGTTAATGAGGGCCGACTACAATGCAACACACAATTAGCTCGCTGTATCAAGTTCACAGCACCATGGCTGGCATGATCGCACACAGCTGGTCCCTTTTAACCTATATATGAGGAAACGTCCCACCCCTGTCTAATGCACCGGAGTTTATTCATTTATACAGAAATGACTGTGGCTTCTGAAGATATTCAGCCATGTGATCGTGAGCCTTGGAATGAAAATTACTACACGATTTGAATTCACCACCCGTGCTGTTAAACTTCTGCAATATTGATTTGTTTTACTTTCACTACTGTGGGAATAGAAAATAGATTAACACTTGGGCTGCTACTGCCAGTCAGTTGGTCATCTCCAGTAATGGGTTTATATGTTTTCATTTTAATATATTTCTTAGTCTGAGGCACTCCCATCAACTGGCGTGTGTGTATCTTCTGGCAGATTCATTTCAATCATTCTTAATTGTCTCCGATGTGTTTACATATAGATCTGCATATTTACATTTTCTCAATAAACATATGTATTACTGTGATGGGAAAATATACTTATTTTCCAGACAGTTTTACAACAAATTTAGAAGCAGGACTTGTTGTGAAAGCTCTTGCTGCATCTTATTGTTTTGTATATCCTAAAATATAGGTATACAAAATAAAAAACGAATACTGTATTCCATATTACGAGTTGGAGAGCTTTATTGCAAATATTCATTTCCCCAGCTCGCAGCACATATCTTAATTAACATTTATATTATGTTAGCTCAGGGGTGCATGATGAGCATATTTTCCTTGTCTGATTTGAAAAATATTTAAATGAATCCACATGTGTTGCCAATAATCCGAGTGTCAAGTAGGAAAATTGGAATGAAGAGTCCCGATCTTCATCTCTGCAGAGGCTTTAATGAAATCAGAATCATTTATGCCTGCTTTGAAGGATGAGCTGTTGCAAAGTCATTAAGTTTGCTAAGGGGCCAGGAGGATAACGTTAGCCGTTAGCTTGTAACGGTGGATACTGTCAGACGGTTTTGATGGTGTGACACATTCAGTTGATTTATCAGTCAGATTCATATTTTTGGGTCAGATGGTGGTCATAAGTCTGCCATCCCTACATGAACAGACATTAACATGCAGCATGTTATGCAGTGCCTTATAAGGAATACAATCATTTGAATACTCCAGTCTATATTAAGTACATCTTCCCAAATTGTAATATTGCCAGTGCACTCGTATGCCTGTTGGATGATATTACATTGATTCAGGAGCGGGGGAAGAACAATAACTCCTCCTGTGCCAGAGCTGCGAAAGTCATCAGGTTTTTCAGATAACATCCATCACTGGGTAATTTGAGATTGAAAACATGTCACATTGATGTATAGGATGTATGGAAGGTAGAGCCCAGAGCAGGATGATCGTAAAGGTTAATCCCGTTAAATCTGAGTCCGAAATACACAGTGTGGTTTGGATTTGCAGCTTCAGCAGAAATGAAATGTCACAAAACTGGAATTCAGAAGAAGAAATTATGAAATCACATCGCATCTATATGCAGATTTAGGATGTCAAAGAGGACTTGAAGTTGGCAACTTTAAGAAATAAACAGAGATAGAATAGGATTTCCTTTTTCATTTTGACTGTATATTCTTCAGTTTAACTAACTTTATTATTACTTCAAAATGATTAGCTCAATACTAAATTGCGGCTAGCACACGACAGTATGGGCTAGTCAGGTTACTTTTAAATGGTTGTATAAGGGTTGATGCTAAATGCTCGGGTTGGCAACCTAACACACTCCAAGTTCTGTAGTTTAAGGGGAAAATTTAAAAATAAAATAACAAAATAAAAATAATTGCTGCACAGTGCCTTGTTAAAAAGAAAAGAAAACTCCACGTTACCTTTAATACACTTGATATAAGTTGTTATACTGTTGTACTAATTGTAAAGCATTTATTTACATTAACTGTGGAGTTTTTATTGTAAAACCGCATGTTTACATGCAGTGCTAAAAGGCATTGTTTGTATCCTTAAGGTCTAACAAAGGTGTTTTTATGATGGTGTTTGTTTTTTTTAATATCAGATCACATATTATTCTATCTTCGTTAAAGTTTGCTCATGCAGTTTTACACTGTTTGAGAGATGAACTCAATGTGTTTCTCTGTGACAGCTTGTAAGACTGAACTCAATACACCTCTGTAAGTTGCTTTTGTTTTTGTTGCCTTGAAAACTTTAATAAAAACAATGATCCTCAGACCTGTATTGAATGAGACACAAACCGCATTCAACCTAATGTGACGCGCTCTCTAGCCTTTGTCATTTATTTTATTTATTCATTTTGTGTGGGGGGGCCTATGTTGTGAGCATTGTAAGATAATGAATGCAGTGTTGCGTTGAGAAACCCTAATAGCATAATGAGCGCTGCCAAAAAGAAACACAGAAATGAAAGACACTTAAGGGCCATTTGCTCCTCATAAATTCAAAACTATAGCCTAATTAATTTCTCTTTTGTCAAACAATGTACAAATGTACTATTTATACATTTTCTTTGTAGCATCAATAACTAAGCTGGGAACGAGCTTGATGAGAGCGGTAAAAGGGAAAGTTGTGGGCTGAGTGGGAGGGTTACTTTAAAATGTATAATGTTACAGTCAGTAC